CAAATTCAGCAGATAGACAAGAGAAAATATGCTAAGCAGCAGCTCTACTATAGCTGATTATGTAATCGATGTATCACAGCCGGGCATATTCTTGTCCTTTCTGTACAAAAGGGCAAAGTGTAAAAAATCAGAAAAGCAGTGCACTGACGCACAATAAGAACTTGCTGGTTTTACTTATGCGGAGAGGTGCAGTAAATCTGATCCATTTAATAACCTTAAATAATATGATGATTTATAGCATATTTATAGAAATAAATAAAATGGTAAAGCAATACAGGGGTATCAAAATATGTCGCTGACTACTGACTTACTTGAGAGGCAAATGCCTCATCTTGTGGAGCACAGCCCCAAGAGTCCATTGAATCTCTTTTCCTTCGATCTGATATACAGGATGAAACGTGGAAACGTTTTCCGGAAACCCAAATGCCGTGTGCAAAAGAACTGATGCCCATGCAGATTTAAAACACTGCATTCTAAATTGCGTTGCACTTAAAAAACGACTTTTTCTGTTAAATCCCAAAAACTGTTAATTTACCTCAGACGGTTTTCATCAGCTTTTGGGTATAGCTTTCGACTGAATCTACGCCAAATTATAGACCAATTAGTGCTACAATATTCCTAAAACAACGAAGCAGTAAAAATAAAAAGTGATTTCGAGAACTCATTTCGGTTTTGTGTCTTTTTCAAGAAAAAATAAAATCTATTCAATGGTTGGTTATAAACCATAAATACGCTACACATGTTTAGCAATGTATACCACACAGCTACATTATTATTACACTGTTACATTAAGAGTTTAGTTTAAATAATAACACACCGATGACTAAACATGCATAAGATCTAACTGCTAACATTACCTAAAGCGCACGTTGAGGAAAAGGCAGGTAGAGTGGAAATACGATATCCAGGAGAGTAAGGAACGAAAGAGAGGACTGCTGAGATAAGTTCCATCAGGCACTGTTCGTTGTATGTGGTAGACAACGGTTTACATCCACAAGTCGAAAGATCATTCTGAGTTTAGAATCCTCTGCTTGTTAACATTAACAGGCACATTTTTACAGTGTGTACCACACTACTGCTCTTATAGCCAAAAACAGTTATCAAGCAGACGAAAGCTATACAGGATTTTACACCTTACAGTGCAAGGACACTTTTATTGACTAGAACTCGGCAGTGCTCACCACTCATGTTAATATCGTTCACTTGCTATTTCTTTCGGATCATGGAACAGGTACAACAGGCTGACTTTCCAGTGATCATTGTCAACCACTAAACATAACTTTTAGCGGCTGAACGCTAAGGCGTCACAATTTCAGCTGTTCTATGCAATTAGTGATTAATCTTCTGACATATTTGCAGACACAAAACACTTTACGCAATTTAAAACTTTGATGAACATCAGTTCTGATACACTTAACAGTAAAATCATATGAAGTATCTGTTATAATCTTTCTTGATTAAAATGGGTAGGATTTTCGACGACGACGACATCTGTGCGTCCTAAAATATCTGCTTGTTATTTTCATTAAACAACAAAATTTGTCGTCTCGTCTTCAGGAGACGTCCTCCTGACGAATACGCTCTACATACCTTTGGGATATGTGCATCAGGTTCCTTTTACGAATGTTGATTTATCCTGAGAGGCTTCATGCATACACAAATAATAAAGATCGAAAACTTTTGAGAAGAATAGTCTGAACGACAAAGTTCTGGAGTGCTGTTTGTTTTCATTGTGCAAACGTTTTCCAATTGCGGAGGAAGATATGGGAACTTTAAACAGTATCATGTATCGCAGACATTAGAATGCTGAAATTGCAGCTGGAAATCACGGGTAAGAGTGACAATGAACTGAACAGGTTTCCTTTTTTCTTCTTCTAAATTAGAATATTGAGTACCAGCTGGTGAAAAGAGAAAGAATTTACAAACTGTTCGGTATATCGGTGCAGATATTAACCTGACAAATAAGAAAATGCTGGTTGACGGCATCGAAACAGAAATCAGCGTTGTATCACAGGTTCCATGAAAAAATCTCCATAAACTCAACAGCTGGCTTTCATCACTGAAATCTGCAAAAAAAGAGGAAGATTCCCAAGTGCCACTTTTCTTTGAATTACTTCTGTCAAGTACGACCATCAGACGATAGCCAGAGTTGTTCCTTCGTTGCTCACCTTATGACTGAGCAACGAGGGGATATCTCGATCTATTTCGAAAGGCTTACGTCAAAAATGAAACGCCGGCGCAATGAATTTACAGTCTTATGTCTGCAGTAAATTCGTTTCTCTCTTCCTCAATTTGAATACGAATTGATTCTAACCGGATTTAACCTCTGATTTCTTTTGTTATGAAATAAAGAACACCGAATCGATCAAGTCAAGTCTTATTAACTAGACGTTAAATGAATGCGATTCAAGTTGATCAATTACTATTTTTACACTTCTTCCTGTCTAAACTCAACTGAGGTAATTGGAAAAATACTTAATAACGTACATTGAAATCTTACCGAAGACGAATAGAGAAACTTCTGACGATCGTAAGATGTGCCGAGCGTAAAAACATCATTGCTAGTGAACCAATATTCAGACATGCCGTAAAACTCCATTTCATTGTAGTCGATCGCCGGTTGATAAATGCCTTGCAAAGAGCACCTGGGCTCGTTGCAAGAGACATTCTCGGTGATGATTCGCTTCAGGTCATTCATGCAGGTATAAAAGCAACCGGCTCCTCGGCGTCGTACATGCTCTAGTCCGACAGTAGAAACGTTGATTACCATACCTTTAGGTAGGCAGCAATCGTTGACTGTACGAGGTCTGAAACAAGCCGCGGATTAAAAAGGAGATTCGTCTATTTACCTAACTCAAGTGTTCAAAACGGTATAACGACGACGATCAGGACATACGTTAACTGTTACATTTGTTTGCTTCTTCATATGATCTCTTGAAAATAAAACAGGTGCTTACCCAGTGCTGCGAGAAGTGTTCTGTTCGCTCAGCCACTTCTCGTATAGTCTGTTTGCTTGATTAGCACCATAGCCCAAGAACGTGCTGATGTAAACACGATACTTGTAATGCGAAGAACTGCCATCGTAGCTAAGGTTGACCTCCTCGAACAGACTGTCTTTAAATTTCTAAAATATTCAATCAATATGGACTGCTTACGCATATTCCACAACGGCTGTAAACCTGTTCATAAGGCTGTGCCTGAGGCACTTCAAAGGCTATCTGCACCGAACCACCTCCCAAATCAATTATGCCAGCCGTCTTCGTCTGACCTGAAATTCCAACAACTCAATCATAGATAAACCTTATACAATGAAACGAAAGTTGTTATACGATAAAATATATCACTTTTGGTCGAAATAAGTTGATTGGCTTTTGAAAGCTTATTTGATTTCCTTCGTAGTATCGCTTTTCTCCAGAAACACACGTA